ATTGATTTCGTTTTAATAATAAAATTAGGTTTGGAATGCACATTAAAATCTCTCCAGCATATATTGTGGTAATATTAGTCCGAACTTTGAAGTGTTTTTCAATGCAAATTTCTGATCGATCATGGCGAAAAGTGAATCTGTAGACTGTTATCGCGTGTAAATGTTGGAAAATATTTCAATTTACATGTTAAAGTACTTGCTTTTTACCTGGAAAATCACTAAGCAAAAGCTGCAAGTATCGTTCCCGAAAATAATTTCCGAAAACTGAATTCCGGATAAATGAGAGTTTACGGATTCGTTATGAAAGGATAAAATTAGGTCTAAATACAACGCCCGTTTGAGAAATCTTAACTTGGCTCAATCTTTCGTAAAACTGAAATTCTGCAAAAATGTTTCGAACAGTAATATCAAGTTATTTAAAATCAAATCAGTCCCACCATTTTCTATCAATGGCCATCTCTATTGTTTGTTTGTTTTCTGTTTTTTGTCAAATTTAAGATAATTTTTATATGTCGTTATTTGCTATTATAGACATTTTATTACATGTATCATGAAAATTTATAAACTTATACAACATTTGCAAGGAAAACTTTTATTGAGGAAAGTTAATGATAATTCCTGATCGATGAGAAAGATAAACATAAACAGATGGTATGTGAAAGAATAATTAATCTTCATAGGATATTTCGATGTTTGGTGGGTGAATGAATTCGAGATCGCGGGTCGCTGCAAATACTGGCATTAAAAAGATCAATTTCGGAACTAATATATCAATTATATCAAAAACAAAAACAAAATCGCAAAACAAAAGAAAGAGATCCCGGAGGAATCTTGGTCATCACCATTGTTTGTTCTTTATTTCTTCCTTAAAGACTGGATGTTCCATTCTTTCATATTGTTTCCTCTGTTGTTGCTTTTAGTTATATGAAACTCAAAAATTCCTCTTTAATAAATGTGAATAATAATCTTTAACTTTCAAATCCAAAATGGTCTTCTGTCGGTCATTTTGGATTTGAAATTTAAAGTGAATATATATCTCAAGAAATTGCGATGAAAATTTAAGACTGTCAAAAATCAAGATGACCGCCTGAATTGAACAGACCATCAAACGATGATGGCGGGCTACAAATACAATACGGCCAACTGCCAGTAATTTTTGCTAATCAGTCTCAAAACAAAAGAAGACAAATAGGGATCAATGGGAACAAACCTATGAAAAATCGCAAACTCTCATTTTCAAATTCAAGATGGCCGTCTGTCAGTCATTTCGTTTTTCTGATTAATCCAAAAATCGAAAAAATTTTCTGACTAATTCTAAAACTGACAGAGTACAACTAGGGACCAAGAGCAACATACATTTGGAATTTGAGAAGGATCTACCCAGTAGTTCTCCAGAAATAGCGATAACAAGAATGGTTTAAGGACGGACGGCAGACGAAGGACGATTTGGGGCTATCGATCTGGCATCGTGATAAATGTCACTCATTTACTTAGTAATACACACAACAAGTGATAAACGTACTTAATTAGTAGGTCTTATCATAATATATAATTTGTAACAAGACAATTGCAGTCGGAGAATGACATTCAGTATCATCGGCTATTTTCGGTTTCGCCGAAGGCTCTTAGTAAATTCAATACACAACGCGATAAAAAACCATTAACGTTACCTTGATGAAATATTCACTCGATCGTCATAGCAACTAGGCGCAAATCTCTAGTCAAAGTATATGGACCGCGAGCCCAATGGGGCGGGAAGGCGAAACGGGGATGGGGGGGAATCTCAAAGCTTGAATCACAATCTGAGTTTATGTTGGGTCATGTGACAAGGGAGTGTCGAACCAGTAAAACTTATGTTCCTATGTGTTATGATATATAGACTATGAGCCTGAAACTATATACAAGTGCAGTGCGCCCTTGTTCTTGTCCAAGTACACAACCAGGATATCAAAAATCCTGATGCGTGATCCGAAGTTTGTAAGAAACACAAACTATCTTACGCAAGGACCGGAATATACACTTAGGATATTCAACTATAGTTTAACTGACGGAACGACAACTGGAGGCGACTAATGTGAATCCTTCAGCTGGCGACAGAGTGAAAAATATCAGCTGTATCATTACAACACTTGGCTTCAATCTTTCATTTCCTTTCACATTATGATGTCATTCTGAATGCTACATGTATGATCACTTCCATCACATAAATAACCAGCGTGAAGTGCACTACACCATACAGTGTACGAGATGTAGTGGTATGTAGTGTGACGAAATGGCGAAATGATAAAAGTGAAAAAAGTCGAACTGGTGTTCTTTCACACGTACTTGATGTGGCAAAAATCAAAGACGACAAGGCATTTATAAGAGAGCGTTGCCTTGAATAATATTGTGTACATGCATTACAATGGCTACCATCCTTCGTTAATATTTCTACCCGAGTATGAATCATTTCCAGTTACCACTCACTTGGTATTCATCACTTTTCATAAATGAACGAACATTTCATATTAATTCAAAGTCTTGGCTAATCAATTGTATTAATAAGCATTGATCCCAGTAACCTTAAACGTTTTTTTTCGCAAACTTTGATGGACTCAATCTCCAAACCAAATAAGTCAAATAATCAAGATTCTGAGATTCTTTGTTGATCAGAAGAATTCGTTTGAAGGTTTAGTCAATTTAATATCTGTGACTTTGAACGTAGGTCAAGGTAATTTTGCGCAAACTTTGTCAGGCTTTATCTCGGGAACTTACCGGTATCAAGAGTTTTGGCCTGTCAGTTAATCGTAGAAGCCGTTTTAATGTTTCAACAAATTTGACTTTGAATACAAGTCAATGTCATTTCTTTTCGCAAATCTTTGGCTTAATTCAAGTAACCTTCCAGCCAAAAATCAAGATTCTATGCCTTTTGGTCGAGTCGTTTTAACAAACAAAATGACGTATGATTGGCGGATGACAGGCGTAAACTTTAGCCCCTCCTAAGGGGTAATGTGAGACCATGATCGAGGTCATCACATTCACAATTTCAGTAAAGCTTCTTCAATCCATGATCTACCATATCGGGGTCTTGAGTAAATGTCTGAAATTTCAGTCATTTTGACCCATTCTTGGCCCCGCCCATCAAGACCCTAAATGTTAAGCCGAGGGTCAATATGTGCATTCCATTTAACAGTTATCCTATATTGATGTTTCTAACCAGGTTTTCAATAATTTCCAATGAAAATTCCACAAATATAATTTTCCAATATAGATCATGATACAATTTGTCTCTCCTAAGTATAAAATTTGAGACCCTGGGATCATAAAACTGACAATATCGGTAAAGCGTCGAAGACTCTTCCATCAATAAAAAGTGTTGGGTTCTAACATATCGTGGTCTTGAGAAGAAGTGTATTGGAAAAACTGTGTCAAGTTTACCCCCCTTGGTTCCGCCCGTCGGGCCCTTAGGGTCGGGGAGCATATACTTCACAACTTTGGTTCCCCTTTGCCAATAGAATGTTTCTGCTAAATTTTGACGGAAAACGGACGACACCGGACAAAAGACGAAATGTTACTTGTGACTTGGGTCACCTAAAAAGACTGGGAAGAAAAGATACCATGAACTCAAAGTTAGTCGTCTAGATAGCAAAAATTAAATTTACTCGTAAACGGCTCATCACTACCTATGAATATCAAAGAGTTATTCGCGCTAGTGACTTCCAAGTAAGCGTCTTTGTGAAACGGAATGAACCCGAGACACATTCCGCTCCCCTCACAAATCCGTCGCTATAGGAACATGACTGTTACAAGTTAACACGAAAACCTCCCTACAGACGGAACGATGACTTTGAACAACGATGGAATGATTTGTAAAGACTCCGACAGAATCTGTTAACTTGTGATATTCTGAATCACAACGAACTTTACATTCCGAAAACGATAAACGATGACTGCAATGTCGGTATTTTCCTGATGACTACTACGCCATGCCTAAATGTACCAGTGTATGAGAACACTTACTTAATTTTACACAAAATTTAAATTGAAGTCTGATATCTAATTATGCTGGTTAAAAATCACGATGACATGTAGATTAAGACTTCACGAAGTCTCTTATTCTACCCGACGTTAGAAATTTCCGTCAAAATGTTTTGGTTTGGTGTAGGAGTCAAATTACACTGGGGCTAAATCACCCACGTGATTACGGTGCGACTGATATATATTCCAATGCAATTGTCCATTTTTAAATCCATTCTACCAACAGTATAATCAACCCTCGCCACCCCCATCTGACAAATAGGATGTCAGAGTTTGTGTTAACATGAATGTTGACACGTGACAACTTTACTGGTCGTGATCTATACATTTACTAGGACCAGCTAACATCTAGGGACACAATAAGAGGAGTTTTCAAACAATACGAGGGCTGTCGAAATTATTTATCTGTTTCAATCAAAACTGACATTACCACTTAAACAAAACGTGATAGTATTTACTGCGAGACGTGTTGATATTAAAGGGAGATAAATCTAAAAGCTGAGGATCACAGGGGGTCGGTTCCTTGTTTATGAGTCATATATATCGCTATTCTTTTTTCCTATAATTTCGGTAACCTGGATTTTACAAGGTTTAAGACAGTATCAGACATCAGTCTAAAAGTGGAGTTTTATTTATCAATTACATGTCATATAGGATACAATAAACACGAAGCCCTTGTGTCGAGGATACATACCTCCTAGTGTCAGGTAACATTAATAACTTGTCTTTGTTGCTGATTATATAGCTTTCAATATAGACCAATCAATTTTTAGCCATATGTCAGTTATCATCATACCGACTGTGTGCGTCTTGGTGATGGTACTGTGTGTGTACATCACGTGTCACAGGTAGGGACTCTAACTTGTAAATCGTTCACCACAAGTTTATTACTGTTGTGACCATAAACATTAAGATCACAATAAAAACAGGCGGAAATTAAACAAAGTCCTGAAATAGTGACGAAAATATGATTTGGGACTTACCTGGATAAAGTCCGTGTCCAACGCTTGTCGACTTAGTCACAGGCAAGCTGAAGTACGGTGATGAAGAAAATATTAATTTCTGGAAACACCCAAAAAGTCAGTCTTCTCCAGGTTATCTACACTAAGTCAACATGACGAGTACTATTCTATCACACGCGCACACACACGTCCATTCCCTAATAAACGTTAGTTAGGCCAGGGCGCACATGCAGTGTGAAATGAAGATCGCTACCCTGTGCAGTCGTTGCCTGTGTAAACACAGTGTCCTCGACAGATGGTTAGGAGTAGATTGAGTCGCCGAAGCACACACACACACAGCAGTCGAACGCTACAGCGTACAAATAGTTATATACTTTATGAAGCCCTCTCGAGATATCTCCCGCCTAATGGTTTACAGGTGTGCCTGATTAACACACGTGAAGAATCCGTTTGTTTACATGTATACGAAGACAACCTCATTTCTCTACAAAATGTATTATTCATTAACGAAGCAATTGGAAGCAGTCCGTTCAGTCGCCAGGATAGTTAGGAGATCGGCATTTATTAGCTACTGCCATTATGACGGAAAAGAATGCGTTTCAGAAATTTGACGTTTCGTTCGATCTGTTATAGTTTTAAGCAGATGAAATCTTGGATGTTGGAAAAAATCGTCATATTTTTGACATGTCTACAACGAAAGGTGTTGGGAGTATATTAAATCGTATGTTATATACTGGATTACAAGTAGAAACGTTTCCAGACAGACAAATAATCGGGATTGTTTTGAATGACCGAGGTTTACAAGAATTGTATGTGAACCTGATGAAAAACGAGAGACGTTCTGATGGTTGGATGTCTGTGTATATGTACTGTATTTCAGTCACAATGTCGAACGACTGGTGATAGTACCAGGGTGAATTCTGACCGCCAAAATGGAACTTTTTCCGTATACGTAATGCAGCATGTCTAATACCTAAGTCTGCTTGTTTAGATATAACCGGATATGTTGCCGTCAGTCAGATATGAAATATAATGTCCATTTCAATCATTCACAATAACAATATTTAACTTCGAAAGAGAGATGACAAATTCTGAGTGTAGAGGAAATTCGGGAATCTTTCAGAGAATATGCTGGCGAGTAAAGATTGACCCGTAGATAAAATCGTCCATACAATATTTTAGGTCTATGAATAATCATGACTGTCGTGTATTTTATACTTTATATGAAAGACAGGAGATAAAACAAACTGATATTATCAATGTAACAAATGATAGAGTGAGATTGTTGTGTAAGCGTACGATGACAATCGTTAACAGAATATTTACCGCGGAAATTGGATTTTTCTGTTTTCAGAGACCCGGATGGAAAAGAAGTAAGACAATATTACGAGCATGTTAGCCAAATTTATCAACCATATAAATTTATTGAATAATAGCTGCAAGAAAATGAGAAAATGGTTTGGCGTCATACTGCTATTGTACACCCACAGACGGGCGCGAGATGTGTATGCGGGCTGTATTTCATATAGTTAGCGATTAATGTCGGAAAACGGAGACAAAACAAAAAACAACAAATGAAGCATTTTCATTTCAATCATGTTTTCTTCGTTTTGTCAAATCCTTCTGGTGTTTCTGAAAAGTCGAAACATTTTTGTGTTTTACAGCTTGAGAACTTTAGATAATTTCATTTCAGATTGAAAACTCGACCTATTCATTTTTCGCAAACGTTTATATAAACGATAACAGCAATTATACTGCAAATATTTCTTGTTTGGATTTCAGACATACAGTATACTTAGAATATTGGAGTGACAAGAGAAAGAATATATCCAAAATGCAAGGGTTTTACTTTCATTTTACGTGATCACCATGACCTGTAAGTGAGTCAATGTCTTTCATATGAACAAACTTTACATCCCTTTACTATTAGAATGCCACAGATATAATGTTATCATCCTGGAGTAGGTCTGATTCGTTATCTGTAAGTGTCTTAAGACTAACAACTACATCTGATATCCGTGACACTGGTATCTGAGATCTATTTAAGACATTTCCAAAGTTTATCTGACTGATTTCAATCCAATACACTACAAGCCATTTTCAATCTTCGATCCCATTAAAACCTATGACCTTATAGGTTATTCAAGTGATCGAAACGACATGCTTTATGTATTTCTGACCATTAAGGAAATCAGAAGTTGACATCTCCTACAATTTTGTCCTGGTTAAATGTACATTTACTTGTCCAAGCGATGTTTAGAAGTAGTCTGAATCTAGTTTTCTCGCCTTAAAAGATCAAGACTGATCCTCAACATCTGATAATGTTATGTTATCATTAAAGTTTTGTCATCTATGTTAGCCTGCTACTGTACAGCCGACGTGGTGGGTCACTGTAAGGAGCCGTTCCTGTTCAATTAAAATAGAGAAGGGAAAAGAAAACAAAACAATTCCTGGAGTTATTCTTTACATTTAGGCATGTTTTTATTCTGTCGATGTAATATATTTTTGGTCGCTGCCTTTCAAAAATTTGTATTCAGGTCACACATTTTTTCCGGTCTCCTGGATCCGATATTGGTAATTGCTGTAAAGTAGATAAAATTTGATTTCAATAAAAAACACAAGTATATACGGTACCATTACTGCCTCCCGTTACAGTAACATAGACATATCAGTGACAACATTTACCCTCGATATCACAGTATAACGGTACCGCCATTAACAGCGTGTAACCAATGTGTCACACTAATGCTTTACACATGTAAACAGCGCGTGCTACAAATACTAGTCGACACTTTATGACAAAAAGATACAGTGACGTCACCTTTAACGTTCGGAGCAAAACTCGTTACCTTAGTAACCTATAAGTGCATACTGTGAAAACAATCAGTCGGATGCAGCTCGAGTTTCTGGTTCAAACAATTACAAGAAAAATGTACTCATTCAGCAGTAGAATGATCAAAGTACTAAGAAAACAGAGAAGTATAGAACTAATTATGTTCTCTTACAAACACAGTGCTCTCAGACTTCACATCAACCTTGGAGGTTTAACAGCTAAATGCCACTGTAACAACCAGCGTCTGTCAAAACAGAAATACTTGATGTACAACATTTTCGTTGGAGTTGGCAACAGTTCAAAATGTATTATCAATTATTATATATCTTACTGTTAAATTCACTAACGTAAGTTCGATGTATGTCCTTGAAACTTTGAAGTCCAAAAATATTATTGAAGTTAAAACGTATTCGTAGGAATAAAAGACAATTACTTTGGGGGCAATAACACGACGTGCCTCCCGCATGTTGTTCAGTGAGGGAGTCATCAGCTATTACATGGGAACTCGCATCAAAATGAACTTAGCTGTTCCCAGAAAGATAAACCATCAACATGGCTCGAATAATTTCTATATCAATCTTTAAACAAGTCATGATTGACTTGTCAGTGTCAGAGAATTATCAATCTTCGAATAATTCTGATCGGGTAATATTGCCATATTTTATTGTCAGCATATTGTTTTATCTTTTATCATTTTGGTTAGGTTATTTATGGTAATCTGTCGGCCTCTCGCAATGTGTAATGACATCGTTATGCAATTAAAGATATATTTCTATGATATGTTTGTAAAACAATTTTTTGTAAAACGATTCACTGAAAAGTCGGGGGAATGTTTTATTCTGGTCATTCGATCCAACACAGTTTCTACACGGCACTGTAAGTCATCGATTACAATTCGCAAACACCAAACGTAATAGAATAGGTTAAAATTGTATACATCTAAATAATCATAGGCTTTTTGTCCATTTCCATGGTTACACTTGACGCTTCTTGGAATCCGCAATGAAAGTTTTGAGAGGAAAGCTTGTTGAGCGGGATATGGTTTCCGATGCCGTCGAATCCGAGGCTACTGGACATGACTGGGAGGGCAGCTACAAGTATAAATGTATGACGCTATTTTTCTCAAATATATAGACATTTAGTCACGAGTCAATCACAATTACCATGGTGACATGAACAGATTCACGTGCCATAGTATAATTATCTCCCCTTCCTAAAGACACCAGAAAAAAACTAGTTAGTCACCAAAAAGACAATAAATACAAATTGTCGTAAAATTAATTTCCCCGAGAATAATGTACATCACGTGTTGGTTTACAGGGAGGGAGAAACTATGTGGTTATAAATCACACCTTTTTCACACACAAACATCATCAGTGTGCCGCTAGCGCTCCAGTGACAAGTCAATTTTTCTGCATCAGGAAAAAATGAGGAGAACTTTGTCAGAATGGCGGGTTGTATTAAGACCTGTCATTCCTGTGATGTATGGGGCTAGAAGGTGTGTGTATATTTCCAAACTGATAGCAGACGTGGTAAGCAATGACTAAACCGTCTGTAGGACATGTACATGGTAATTATGTTTACACTGTCACAGACTGGAAGACAGGATGTAAGTAGTGTTTCTGTAGCGACAGCTGACAGAGCCCGGATGTTGACGATTCTGTCATTATCTGCTCAAGTATCTCAATATTTCCATTGATATTTTTTTCGTTAAACACGAAGAGTACCTGTTATGATAAAACAAATAAAAATAAGAAAAATCATGAAAATAAATTTCGGTAAACCAACCCTACTCTGTAGATATTCAGCGTTTTTTTTTCAAAATTACTTGTAAATAACGTAAGCTATCTTTCCTGTGTAAATTATATTCATATTACAACATTTCATCACTTTTTCACACAGCTGTAGTTGCTGACACATATCTGTACCAAATAACCCTCCTTAAATGTTATACATATATATACCCATACTCTCACACAAATAACCCTCCTTAAATGTTATACATATATATACCCCACTCTCACAGAAATAACCCTCCTTATATATTGTACATATATATACCCCACTCTCACACAAATAACCCTCCTTATATATTATACATATATATACTCCACTCTCACAGAAATAACCCTCCTTATATATTATATATATGTATATACCCCACCGTCACACAAATAACCCTCCTAATGTATTATACATATATATACCCATACTCACACACAAATAACCCTCCTTATATATTATACATATATATACCCAACTCTCACACAAATAACCCTCCTAATATATTATACATATATATACCCATACTCTCACACAAATAACTCTCCTCATATATTATACATATATATACCCCACTCTCACAGAAATAACCCTCCTTATATATTATACATATATATACCCCACTCTCACAC